GAAAAAACCATTTTTTCTTGTATGGAAAATTTGATGGAGTTGAAAAACTCCTTGATGAACTCCTCTGTGTTTGGGTTCTAAAATCAAACGTTGGGATTGTCCTCTGCCGTTTCTTTGTTGTTTCCGCTCTTGTTGTTATCTTCATACGCGTTGTTACGGTACTGGTTTCCGTGGAGGGTAACCTCTTAGATGAAGATACGGTGGGAGAAGTCTAAACACACCTGCAAGCACTCACCACGTCTAAAGAGAAATAGCACACCTTACTCACAGTACAGTTCAGAGGATTTCCATTGAGAACTATATGCCTTAATTTTGGTAAATCCCTTTGTATCTGTGCAACGTCTACAAACTGGATTCGATTGTTACAAAGAGATAACGATGTGAAGTTAACTCTTAATGTAGAAAAACGTGGCACTTCAGTTAGCTGGAAGTTTGAACAATCTATGAATAAAGTATCGAAGTGATAGATGCRCGCATGACTTGAACTGAAGCACAAAAGAGCTGATAGAACGAAGAACGAGTAGAAGAACATTGCCATAACAATGGCTTGTACAATACTATGCAGAGGAGATGTACGAATAAAAAAAGATAAGATCAACGCCATAGCAACCAACAAAAAAAACCACGTCTGGAAAGAATTAGCAGCTCTAGCAAACTCTCTCATTAAAAAAAAGAAAAAAAACTATTTGGAAATAGCAATAAAAATGTTCAAATCCCTGTACAGTAATGACATAAAATCAACAACAATTGGTTTCCTGATTAGTCAAAATAAGAAAATAAGAGAAGAAATATCTTGATATGACAACATCAACTTCTCAAAGAGGAACCGCTCCATTGTTTTGATCAGGAGAATAAAAAGGCACGTGCGGTTTGTTAACAAAACAAAACGAAATTTGCTCACACAAGTACATAATTCTTTATTATTTTGCAAATGAAAAGTATTACAATCGTCTCTTAAGTATTCTTGTACGCAAGATACTTTCACATGAGACATTCTTTTATGGAGCAAAAGTGTTTTCTTGATGTCTGACTCAGGACTGGTGAATTTTTCACCGGTTTCAACATCATATATTCATAGCATAGAGGCATAGTAAAATATGCTATAGGTATCTTGACTACAGTACACCCTTCCTCTACCTCGGWTACGAAGCAATAACGTGCTTTACAGCGATTTAGCATTGTTTCCCAAGATCCTTTTAATAACGGGTTGGTGAACTTAGAAGCTAAATCTGCCGCGAGATAGCTAAGATACAAGTTCTTATTTCTAATCTTCGAAGCTGTCCCTTTTACCTCGACTTGTTCTTTTGTCATTTCCATCATCTTTTTACTGCTGTTATGAGTGATTAGATCTTCCAGATAGGATTTCACCACCATTTTCATTCCAAAATTCCTGGGACTCCCTTGATGGATGTCATATTCTCAAGCCATGAAAAGTGGAAAGAGTTGTAACAGCGTTGATAACGGAATTTCGGATCTCATGCGATATTCAGCTTTCTTGAAGATACTTTCCCAAAAATGCTCGTCCGCTTCCCAGTTGACGAGTTCGTCCAGAGTAGCACGTCGTGCGTGCTTCAACTCTAKAGCGTGAATTCTTTCCTTGTTTCCAAACTGTTTGAATGCATGGTAAAATAGGAATCGGAAAA